TTTTTGAGTTGGAGTCTCACTCTGTCGCCCAGACTGGAGTGCAGTGGCCGCTCCTGGCCACTGCAGCCTCAACCTGCTGGGCTCCTGTGATCCTTCCGCTTCAGCCTTCCGAGTAGCTGGAATTACAGGCATGCGCTACCACATGATTTTTTGATTTATTGTAGAGATGAGGTCTCACTGCCCAGGCCTTTTGACTAGCATCTCCCCACTTCCCCACCCAAGGCCCTGGAAACCACCCTTCTACTCTCCGTTTCTAAGGATTAGGTTTTTGAATATTCTACATAGAAGTGAGATCAAGGCATAGACATGGATTCTCAGAAGTTTTGGTGCGAAAAGGTGCAGAGGGAGAACAGATGAGGAGACAAGGAGGGGGGATCTTCAAGAAAAGACCTCCACGGTCATTTGTGTGTCATTTGGAATGTCCAGCCGGGATGCAGGACCTGGTGAGCAAGTCATGGTGCAGGAGAGACTGTGGGACGCATGTTCTTCAGCAGGCAGACAGGAGGGGATCCTGAGCAAGCACCAGAGGAAGGGGTGACCCTGGGTGGGAGTGAGGTCACTTCAGCCAGAATGGCAGGACGGCATGTGGGCACAGCTAGAGGGAAGCGATGGTCAGGTAGTGGAGACATGAGGGCCTGCCTGCTGGATTGTTTGTTTTCTCATGGGAGTATGAGGTAATGTTATTTCAGTCTGATCTTCAAACATCTGGATGATCAATATCTGAGCTACTGCAGTGAATTAGGAGCATGTATTTGACATGTATGCGTGACCAAGAGTCCTCACCAAAGCCTTGCCACTCAGCCTAAGGAGGGCCAGCTTCCACCCATACAAGCAAAGGAAGCAAATTTCTTACAGTTTGGGATTTCTCATTTGGACCCACTTTTAATTATTAAAGAAAACATGCTGAAATTCACTTGTAGCACACCTCCCACTTGCACAAAAACCCCTGCAATGGTGGTTGGCACAGAGTTGGTATTCCATAAAAAAATTCTTTTTTTTTTTATTTGAAAGATGTGGAGTACAATTCAGGGTTAGGTATACAAATGGTCATTGTGTAGGTAAAGTTTGGACCCCACTTTGGTCCCCACTTCACCTAAGTTTTTGTTCTTTTCCTAACTTTCCATCAACCCTTTGTTGTTCAGCACTTTCACATGCATTAGCCTCTTTGATCCTCACAACAACCCCATATGTTGCATAAAACCAGGCAAAGATGTATCCAGTCATTTCCTTATTTATTCAGCTCTCATTTGATGCATATAGAGATGTGCCTGGCTGTTATACCTGTGGGTGCTGGGAATGCAGATGTGTACGACACAGACACTGACCTAGAAGAGTTCAATATCTAGTTGGGAAGAAGGGCCACAGCTATAAACGTGCAACACAATGTGATGAGTGCTATATCCAAAGTATACAAGGGGGTACCCCCAAAAATCCGGAATATATTTATAAAATTTTGTGTATGTATTCTCACATGCTTAAACTTCAGTCACCTTCAAAGTCGTCTCCATTTGGTGCAATCTTCCATTCTAGACACTTTTCCACTGCTCAAAATAGTTTTCGAACTCATCAATTTAGAAGCCTTTTGGTGCCTCTGCCATATTTTGCTTCACCTCTTCCACATCAGCAAAACATTTCCCTTTGAGGACTTTGTTCATCTGGGGAAACAAGAAAAAGAGTCACTAACAGAGAGAAGTGGGCGAATAGGGAAGGTGGAGCATGGGGGTCATGCGGTTTTTGATCAAAAACTGCGGAACATTCAGTGCAGCGTGAACAGGTGTGCTTGTAGATCACCCATCATGAAATGGGCAAATGTGTTGAAAGAATCTCCAAAAAAAAAAAAAAAATCAAATCACTGAAGCTGAACACAGCCTCTCACAAAAGCCTAGTGGGGGAAGCCTATACTAAAAGAAGAACACTATGCAACATATAGTTCCATTTTTGGGGGGGTCCTCCCTCGTATATAAGATATTTTGGGAATTCTGACGTCAAA